ACTGTCATTGGGCTTACTTCACCTATAGGAGTGTCCTGACTCTTTAGCCAGACTGCTTTGCAGGGTCCAGCCCCTTCCTGGCCACAGAGTCTGTTATCAACCTTCAAACAAACACCCCTCGTCCCTTAAACCTTCAGCCCAGCAATGCTCAGTTAGCACAGGTATGGCTCTGCTTCCCCTGGATAAATCAGTTCCCCATTCCAGGGGTTGGCACACTCCTGTCCTGGATCAGGGATTCCAGCAGACTCTAGCTGGACCCCATCTTAGTTCTCGAGCTTACTCCTGCAGATACCTAGCTGGTCTTTTTTTCTCCTTTTTCCTCCTCCCAGCCTTCCCTTCCCTTCCCTTCTGATTGCTTCCCAGAAAGACAGCACTTTCCACATTCTCTCCTCAACTGGGTTCACTCAGCCTCCTTATGGAGACAAAACCTTGCTTTCACCCACCTGGGCTTTATTTCTCATTTGACCTGGCTTTTCCCCCTAGGTGCACACAGGCTGGTTAATTGGCCTTTGAGCCCCATATTAATCTTTAAAAAAAAAATGAGTACTTGTGGCACCTTAGAGACTAACCAATTTAATTGAGCATAAGCTTTCGTGAGCTACAGCTCACTTCATCGGATGCATACTGTGAAAAATACAGAAGATGTTCTTATACATACAAACCATGAAAAAATGGGTGTTTATCACTACAAAAGGTTTTCTCTCTCCCCACCCCACTCTCCTGCTGGTAATAGCTTATCTAAAGTGATCACTCTCCTTACAATGTGTATGATAATCAAGGTGGGCCATTTCCAGCACAAATCCAGGGTTTAACAAGAATGTCTGAGGAAGGGGGAGGGCGGTGGGTAGGAAAAAACAAGGGAAAATAGGTTACCTTGCATAATGACTTAGCCACTCCCAGTCTCTATTCAAGCCTAAGTTAATTGTATCCAATTTGCAAATGAATTCCAATTCAACAGTCTCTCGCTGGAGTCTGGTTTTGAAGTTTTTCTGTTGTAATATCGCAACTTTCATGTCTGTAATCGTGTGACCAGAGAGATTGAAGTGTTCTCCGACTGGTTTATGAATGTTATAATTCTTGACATCTGATTTGTGTCCATTTATTCTTTTACTTAGAGACTGTCCAGTTTGACCAATGTACATGGCAGAGGGGCATTGCTGGCACATGATGGCATATATCACAGTGGTAGATGTGCAGGTGAACGAGCCTCTGATAGTGTGGCTGATGTTATTAGGCCCTGTGATGGTATCCCCTGAATAGATATGTGGGCACAGTTGGCAACTGGCTTTGTTGCAAGGATAGGTTCCTGGGTTAGTGGTTTTGTTGTGTGGTATGTGGTTGCTGGTGAGTATTTGCTTCAGGTTGGGGGGCTGTCTGTAGGCAAGGACTGGTCTGTCTCCCAAGATTTGTGAGAGTGTTGGGTCATCCTTCAGGATAGGTTGTAGATCCTTAATAATGCGTTGGAGGGGTTTTAGTTGGGGGCTGAAGGTGGCGGCTAGTGGCATTCTGTTATTTTCTTTGTTAGGCCTGTCCTGTAGTAGGTGACTTCTGGGAACTCTTCTGGCTCTATCAATCTGTTTCTTCACTTCCGCAGCTGGATACTGTAGTTGTAAGAATGCTTGATAGAGATCTTGTAGGTGTTTGTCTCTGTCTGAGGGGTTGGAGCAAATGCGGTTGTATCTCAGAGCTTGGCGGTAGACAATGGATCGTGTGGTGTAGTCAGTGTGAAAGCTGGAGGCATGTAGGTAGGAATAGCGATCAGTAGGTTTCCGGTATAAGGTGGTGTTTATGTGACCATCGTTTATTAGCACTGTAGTGTCCAGGAAGTGGATCTCTTGTGTGGACTGGACCAGGCTGAGGTTGGTGGTGGGATGAAAGTTGTTGAAATCATGGTGGAATTCCTCAAGGGCTTCTTTTCCATGGGTCCAGATGATGAAGATGTCATCAATATAGCGCAAGTAGAATAGGGGCATCAGGGGATGAGAGCTGAGGAAGCGTTGTTCTAAGTCAGCCATAAAAATGTTGGCATACTGTGGGGCCATGCGGGTACCCATAGCAGTGCCGCTGACTTGAAGGTATACATTGTCCCCAAATGTAAAATAGTTATGGGTAAGGACAAAGTCACAAAGTTCAGCCACCAGGTTAGCCATGACATTATCAGGGATAGTGTTCTTGACGGCTTGTAGTCCATCTTTGTGTGGAATGTTGGTGTAGAGGGCTTCTACATCCATAGTGGCCAGGATGGTGTTATCAGGAAGATCACCGATGGATTGTAGTTTCCTTAGGAAGTCAGTGGTGTCTCGAAGGTAGCTGGGAGTGCTGGTAGCGTAGGGCCTGAGGAGGGAGTCTACATAGCCAGACAATCCTGCTGTCAGGGTGCCAATGCCTGAGATGACGGGGCGCCCAGGATTTCCAGGTTTATGGATCTTGGGTAGTAGATAGAATATCCCAGGTCAAGGTTCTAGGGGTGTGTCTGTGCGGATTTGATCTTGTGCTTTTTCAGGGAGTTTCTTGAGCAAATGCTGTAGTTTCTTTTGGTAACTCTCAGTGGGATCAGAGGGTAATGGCTTGTAGAAAGTGGTGTTGGAGAGCTGCCGAGCAGCCTCTTGTTCATATTCCGACCTATTCATGATGACAACAGCACCTCCTTTGTCAGCCTTTTTGATTATGATGTCAGAGTTGTTTCTGAGGCTGTGGATGGCATTGTTCTGCACGGCTGAGGTTGTGGGGCAAGTGATGCTGCTTTTCCACAATTTCAGCCCATGCACGTCGGTGGAAGCACTCTATGTAGAAATCCAGTCTGCTGTTTCGACCTTCAGGAGGAGTCCACCTAGAATCCTTCTTTTTATAGTGTTGGTAGGGAGGTCTCTGTGGATTAATATGTTGTTCAGAGGTGTGTTGGAAATATTCCTTGAGTCGGAGACGTTGAAAATAGGATTCTAGGTCACCACAGAACTGTATCATGTTCGTGGGGGTGGAGGTGCAGAAGGAGAGGCCCCAAGATAGGACAGCTGCTTCTGCTGGGCTAAGAGTATAGTTGGATAGGTTAACAATAGTGCTGGGTGGGTTGAGGGAACCATTGCTGTGGCCCCTTGTGACATGTAGTAGTTTAGAAAGTTTAGTGTCCTTTTTCTTTTGTAGAGAAGCAAAGTGTGTGTTGTAAATGGCTTGTCTAGTTTTAGTAAAGTCCAGCCACGAGGAAGTTTGTGTGGAAGGTTGGTTTTTTATGAGAGTATCCAGTTTTGAGAGCTCATTCTTTATCTTTCCCTGTTTGCTGTAGAGGATGTTGATCAGGTGGTTCCGCAGTTTCTTTGAGAGCGCGTGGCACAAGCTGTCAGCATAGTCTGTGTGGTATGTAGATTGTAATGGATTTTTTACCTTCAGTCCTTTTGGTACGATGTCCGTCTGCTTGCATTTGGAAAGGAAGATGATGTCTGTCTGTATCTGTACAAGTTTTTTCATGCAGTTGATTGATTTCAACTCCATACGGCTAAATGCAGTGCCTTGCATAATGACAGGTTTCAGAGTAACAGCCGTGTTAGTCTGTATTCGCAAAAGTAAAAAATATATATTAAAAAAAAAAGAACATTCCTCAGACGTTCTTGTTAAACCCTGGATTTGTGCTGGAAATGGCCCACCTTGATTATCATACACATTGTAAGGAGAGTGATCACTTTAGATAAGCTATTAACAGCAGGAGAGTGGGGTGGGGGGAGAGAAAACCTTTTGTAGTGATAAGCACCCATTTTTTCATGGTTTGTATGCATAAGAACATCTTCTGTGTTTTCCACTGTATACATCTGATGAAGTGAGCTGTAGCTCACGAAAGCTTATGCTCAAATAAATTGGTTAGTCTCTAAAGTGGCACAAGTACTCCTTTTCTTTTTGCATATACAGACTAACACGGCTGTTACTCTGAAACCTGTCATATTAATCTTTAGTATCTTGTGTGGTGTAAACGTCGTATCACAAGACCATGATGAAAGGAGAAATTGGTTTGCCTGATAAAGTTTGCCTTGAATGGCACCCGTAAAGTTAAGTTAAACATATATGCAAAGGCTTTGCTGCCTTGTGGCATTAGTTACCTACTACTGCTCAGACGATTAGACCATTCTGCCTTTTCGTGGGTCTTATGGTATTTTGGTATCCTGTATAAACCAAGAACCACTCATGTGTGTGCATATCATCTCTCTTACGTACATGCTCTTAATGATTATCTGAACATTTTTAAACCCTCAAAAAGTTGAGGGTTTGAGTTACCGTACAACAGCTCACAGGCATTCTTATTGTATCAGAAACAATTTATCCATCCCTAACATACACCCATGCATCCCTCACAATTTGTTGAGAGGCAAGCAATTTTAAAATGAACTAAAACTGGCTACTTTTTCTTTGTTGGCTGAAAACTGTGATCATAAAGTCTGGAAGTCACTCCTCGAATCCACTTATTTTCCAGTTGGGTTGAAGCAGATTCAATTTAAGACTGAAATAGAAAATTCCACCTTTTTATTTAGTAAATAAAACTAGTAAATGAAGCGATCAGTGGTCACTCTTAGGATTTTGGGCCAAACTCATCTCTGAAATGTACTGGCTTACTGAGTTATTCCTAAAATGAGTTTTTCATTAGATGTCTGAGTGCTGAGTTCCATGCTTTCAAGTAATAAAAGATTAAAGATTTGCTCCAAGCTATCATTGCAGTCTGCATGAACTAATTTGTTATAAAAATAGAATTTTTTAATTATTCAGTTATTTTATTTCAGTGCAAATAAATCTTGTCCACCTATTTGTCAGTTTCTTGCACGTTCACCTCAGTGCCTTGTATGTGGTCTCTTGTATATTATACAACCACCATGGCCTCATTTACATGGCCCCCACACTGTACACATTTAAACCCTTATTAAAGACCTACTTCTGACATGCAACCTTCAATGAATTGAGCTGCTGTGGATATTGTTGTTCCCCTAACCCTAACCTTTATTTCTTTGTCTATCTGTTCTTAGCCTGTGAGCTCCTTCGAGTAGAGACCCTCCTTCTTGAATGCTCAGAAAGCATTGAGCGCAGAGGGATGATATAATAAATGATCATCACCATCATCATGGCAGATCCCAAAGAGGCATCCCCTCCTTGTGTATTGAGTTCCATGCAGCTCAATCTGCGGGATCCCGGAATGGCCCTTTCACAAGGCTTTGTTGGTCATTTTCGCCTCCGTGGCCATTTGGGCCACAAGGACACAGGTGGTCAACTTCACTATAAACCCCCTCATGATGTGAAGGTACAGACCCTGGAGGGTGCTATAATAAATAAATGATAGTCGTCATTTTTTTTTTTTTTTGGATGCTGAACGTTTGGTATGTTGTCTTTTTAGTTTCCCATCTTTCTTGTACAGGAACATAATGGCTATGGGTGAGATTCTGTGCTGCAGCTCTCAGAGGCCCATAACAGAGCTCTTAGCTCGGAGGAGGGGCCCCTCTGGGGCCTCCAACTTAATTTGGAAAGCTCTGGGGGGCTGTCTAAATTACATCAGGCTCCTGGGCTACAGTGCTGCTCAGAATATCTGTAGCATCCTATGCTGCAACCTTGACCTGACACGCCCTTCCCACTCCCTGCCCTATCTCTCTGCCTCCTACACTAGAGTCAGTGAGGGCGGGTAATTAGAGGGCAGCCTTACAGCTGTCAACCAGAGAGCCTGCAGCAGGGGAATCCTCCCCTGCCTGAATATGAGGCTTTTAAGGCCCCTTTCTGCCATGCCAGTCTCTTTATCTGATGTAAAGGAGCTGGAGTGGGAAGGAAAGTGGGGGTGATCTCATCTATGTATACAGATATACGCTGTGTGGACAGATGGACATGTGCAATCGATATGAAATGTGTGTCATTTTAAATGGTGTTTAAACCCCATTAAAATGTGGGAAAATAAATCTAACTGTCCCTGTTTCTTATTTTCTTTTAACCAATCATTATTATATTGTTTATTTCCTAAAAAAAGAAGAGCAAATAAAATGCATTCTAACAAAGCAAAAAGACAGCTTTTAGCTTTGAAACCAAACGCTTCATCAAGGATGGGCAAGATGGCCATTACACAGCTTTCAGTCTGACAATGAGAAGGTTCCAGTGTCTGGCAGCAACCTGATTTGCTAAAGAATCAGCACTAGCGTTGTGATCAGATCTTGACAGACTGTTTCCATGTCTGATTTACTGTGATCCAGGTTATTAATTTGACACTCAGTCTTTATGGATGATGCCAAAACAAAGCCTGTGACTCTGCATCTTATATTTCTAGCAATAGCAAGGACAACAGTGGGTATATTGCTTACTCAATGGCTTAGTGGGGACGAGTAGTGTGGTGTCACTTTCTAAATACTAGCACTAGGTGGCGCTAATAAACCTTGCACAGAATTGTTAAATCTTAGTTACACAAAACGTTATCAGAGGAACAGCCGTGTTAGTCTGTATTCGCAAAAAGAAAAGGAGTACTTGTGGCACCTTAGAGACTAACCAATTTATTTGAGCATGAGCTTTCGTGAGCTACAGCTCACTTCATCAGATGTAGCTCACGAAAGCTCATGCTCAAATAAATTGGTTAGTCTCTAAGGTGCCACAAGTACTCCTTTTCTTTTTACAAAACGTTATGAAACAAAAATCTAAGTTAACAATGATTTTAAAAGTTGTATTTTAATCTGCACGATTTATTTGATTACACTCTCTCTGATAAGCAATTTACTCCACAGGCCAATTTACTATGTATTTATTCATTTGATTTTAAGTGGGTTCATGCTTTGTCTCTCCCATTTTCCTGGTACATCCAGGCATGCTTAAAGACGGCTCAGTGAATCTCTTCAGAAGAAAGTGAAGAGTCATAGTTTCATGACTTTTGCAGAAGACTGACTGCAGGTTTTTCAAATGATGGCCCTGATCCTGAAAACACTTATGTACAAGCATAACTTTACTAACATAAGTAGTCTCACTGAATTTGAGGGAACTACTCGCATATGTAAATGCAAAAGTGTTGCAGTATTGGGCCTAGTGCATTGACATCTATTAGGGTTGCCAACTTTCTAATGGCACAAAACCGAACACCCTTGCCCTGCCCCTTCTCCGAGGCCCCGCCCCCCCACTACCTCCATCCCCTCTCCCTCTGTCTCTTGCTCTCCACCACCCTCACTCACTTGCTCATTTTCACTGGGCTAGGACAGGGAGTTCAGGCTCTGGGTGGGACCAGAAATGAGGGGTTCAGGGTATGGGAGCAGGTTCTGGGCTGCAGCAGGGGATTGGGGTGTGAGCTCTGGGGTGGGCCAGGGATGAGGGGTTTTGGGTGCAAGAGGGGGCTATGGGCTGGGGAGTGAAGTCGCAGGGTTTGGAGTGTGGGAGGCAGTTCTGGGCTGAGGCAGGGGATTGGGTGTGGGAGGGGGTAGGGGCTCTGGGCTGGGGATACAGGCTCCAGGGTTGGGCCAAAACTGAGGGGTTGAGGGTGCAGGAGTGGGCTCTGGGCTAGGGCAGAGGGTTGGGGTGCTGGGAGATGCGGGGTGCGGGCTTTGGGAGGGAGTTTGGATGTGGGAGGGGGCTAGGGTAGGGGGTTGGAGTGTGGGTGGGGGGTGCAGGGTGCGGACTCTGGGAGGGAGCTTGGGTGCGGGAACGGGCTCTGGAGGAGGTGTGGGGTGCAGGCTCTGGGAGGGGGGTTGGGTGTGGGAAGGGGCTCAGGGCTGGGGCAGTGGGTTGGGGTGTGGGGTCTGAGCAGCACTTACCTTGCGGGGGCTCCCCGGAAGCTGCGATATATCCCTTGGTAGAGACGCGGCCAGACGGCACTGCATGCTGCCTCGACCCGCAGGTGCCACCACTGCAGCTCCCATTGGCTGCGGTTCCTAGCTAATGGGAGCTGCGGAGCCGGCGCTCGGGGTGGGGACAGCGCGCGCGGGGGCCCTCTAGCCGTGCTTTCGCCTAGGAGCTGAGGGACATGTCGCCATTTCTGGGGAGCCAGATAGGGAGCCAGTCTGCCCCACCAACCAGACTTTTAATGGCCCAGTACGCAGTGCTGACCGGAGCTGCCAGGGTCCCTTTTCAACCAGGCATTCCGGTCGAAAACCGGACACCTGTCAACCCTAATATCTCCACTGTACTACACCTATCATGATAAATCTAGTTGTAGTAAAGATTTAGGCCCCAATTCTGGAAACACTTAAACACATACATAATTTCACTCATGAGTAAAATTTGCATGTATGGGTCAATGTTTGTAGGATCAGGGAATGTGCTTTCATCCACAGTTTGTATAATGTCAAGTAAACTGTCAGTGTTTAACAATAATTAAAAACACAGAAGTACCTACAAATTGTCAATACAGTTGTTCTACATTATTTGTTGCAGGCAGAACTTAGTGTAAAATAAACTTCCTAAATGTTTTTGTTCCTTTCACTTTGAATAGCATTTTCCCCCTTGAGGCTAAGTGTTAATATATTTATTCCATTTAGAGGAACACATTTATGGAGTGCATATCCATGTGTCATTGGCGTGTAACTCAAGGTTTTCTGCTTAGTAATCGTTTAGCTTGAGAGCTGGATGGTGCTTCAAATCCTCCTTGATGAGCATGTGGAGATTACCTGAGTGGCAAGAGAAACTATGGAGTTTTGTGAGAACAGCATGTTTTCTGTTCTTTGTTTAATTTGTATTTTCAAGCCCCTCAATCCTTAAAGAACTTGCCTGAGCATTAGCACATATTGTGAGATTCCTTTGCCTGACAAGAGTGTAGAAACAGATTTAAAAAGCATTCTTAAAGGGGGATGACCTCCTTTATGTCTAAAGCAATAATCTAACCATATTAGTGAAAACTGTCCTTGGCTCATGAAAGTTTTGGAGTCATATTTTGTAAGTGCCATGTGATCTCCATAATGACTAGAGTTGGTCAAAACTCAGAATTTCCATTTTTGGTAGGACATTTTGACTTTCAAAATTTTTCTTTCCGAATCAGGACAAAACCAACTATTTTAGACATTGCCTGCAAAACAAAAATTCTGAAAAACTGTTTGAGACCTTGGCCAAGAAAAGAAAAGAAGCACTCAAGGCTGAATGTTCAAAAGGATTTAGGTGTTGTGTCTCTGAGCATCACAACGCCCAAGTTTGAGAGACCTAGAAAATTCATCATGATTCAAAAAGCCTGAGCAAGGCCCTTAGGCCACCTATACAATGAATTGGGAAAGACCGGCACCTTAGAATGCAATTTACAAAAGCCAGCAGGCTAGAGAGGGTAGCCTAAGGTAGCCAAGGGGAGGCGATGGTCGGAGCATGTGTGTGCTAAGCCTCACCCCTCTTGCTGGGATAGATGCCTCTGCTCACTAAGAGTAACAGCCGTGTTAGTCTGTATTCACAAAAAGAAAAGGAGTACTTGTGGCACCTTAGAGACTAACCAATTTATTTGAGCATAAGCTTTCGTGAGCTACAGCTCACTTCATCGGATGCATACTGTGGAAAATAGAGAAGATGTTTTTATACACACAGATCATGAAAAAATGGGTGTTTATCACTACAAAAGGTTTTCTCTCCCCCTACCCCACTTTCCTGCTGGTAATAGCTTATCTAAAGTGATCACGCTCCTTACAATGTGTATGATAATCAAGGTGGGCCATTTCCAGCACAAATCCAGGGTTTAACAAGAACGTCTCAGGAACAGTTGGGGGGGGTGGTGGTGAAGAGAAGGAATAAACAAGGGGAAATAGGTTACTTTTTATAATGAATCAACCATTCCCAGTCTCTATTCAAGCCTAAGTTAATTGTATCCAATTTGCAAATTAATTCCAATTCAGCAATCTCTCTTTGGAGTCTGTTTCTGAAGTTTTTCTGTAGTAATATTGCAACCTTCATGTCTGTAATCGCGTGACAAGGGTGATTGAAATGTTCTCCGACTGGTTTATGAACTTTATAATTCTTGACATCTGATTTGTGTCCATTTATTCTTTTACGTAGAGACTGTCCAGTTTGACCAATATACAAGGCAAAGGGGCATTGCTGGCACATGATGGCATATATCACATTGGCAGATGTGCAGGTGAACGAGCCTCTAATAGTGTGGCTGATGTTATTAGGCCCTGTGATGGTGTCCATTTATTCTTTTATGTAGAGACTGTCCAGTTAAATGGACACAAATCAGATGTCAAGAATTATAACCTTCATAAACCAGTCGGAGAACACTTCAATCTCTCTGGTCACGCGATTTCTGATCTCAAAGTCACTATCCTTCAACAAAAAAACTTCGAAAACAGACTCCAACGAGAGACTGCTGAATTGGAATTAATTTGCAAATTGGATACAATTAACTTAGGCTTGAATAGAGTCTGGGAATGGTTGATTCATTATAAAAAGTAACCTATTTCCCCTTGTTTATTCCTTCTCTGCCCTCCCCCCCCAACTGTTCCTGAGACTTTCTTGTTAAACCCTGGATTTGTGCTGGAAATGGTTCACCTTGATTATCATACACATCGTAAGGAGCGTGATCACTTTAGATAAGCTATTACCAGCAGGAGAGTGGGGTGGGGGGAGAGAAAACCTTTTGTAGTGATAAGCACCCATTTTTTCATGGTCTGTGTGTATAAAAACATCTTCTGTATTTTCCACAGTATGCATCTGATGAAGTGAGCTGTAGCTCATGAAAGCTTATGCTCAAATAAATTGGTTAGTCTCTAAGGTGCTACAAGTACTCCTTTTCATTTTGATTTATTTCCTCAAAGGAGTCACTGCATATCCCCTGCTCTGTCTCTGAGGCAAGTTGGAAAAATCTCTATGCTGCACTATCAGGAAGACTCACTCCTGTATGGGTGCCTGTCATACGCCTTGTTCACTCAAAGAATATCCAGGATTTTACCCTGCTTAATTGTCCGCTGAAGACATGAGCAATTAGCAGGTTGTCTCTTCTGATGAGAAGACAACACCA